AACAACCCAGTTAAGAAATGGCCAAAACACATGAATAGACATTTTTCCAAAGAAGACATCCAGGTAGCCAACAGACACATGAAAAGATGCTCAACATTCACTCATCATCAAAGAAATGCAAATCAAAACCACAATGAGATACCACCTCCCACCCATCAGCATGGCTAAAATTAATAACACAAGAAACAACAGGTGTTGGTGAGGATTCAGAGAAAGGGGAACCTTCTTGCACTGTTAGTGGGAAGGCAAACTGGAGCAGCCACTCTGGAGAACAGTACGGAGGTTCCTCAAAAAGTTAAAAAGAACTACCCAACAATCCAGCATTTGCACTATTAGGAATTTACCACGATTTCATATATTGAAAAAAAAATTTAAAAATTTAAAAATTTAAAAAAAGGAATTTACCACAGGATACAAAAATACAGATTCAAAGGGGTACATGCACCCCACTGTTTACAGCAGCATTATCAACAACAGCTAAACTATGTAAAGAGCCCAAAGGTCCACTGACTAATAAATGGATAAAGAAGATGTGGGGGACACACACAGCCACACACACACAACAGAATATTACTCAACCATCAAAAAGAATGAAATCTTGCAATTTGCAATGATGTGGATGGAGCTAGAACGTATTATGCTAAGCAAAAGAAGTCAATCAGAGAAAGACAAATACCATGATTTCACTCATATGTGCAATTTAAGAAACAAATCAGATGAACACATGGGAAGGGAGGTCGGAGAGAAAAGAGGGAAATAAACCACAAGAGACTCTTAATGATAGAGAACAAACTGAGGGTTGATGGAGGGAGGTGGGTGGGGGGATGGCCTAGACGGGTGATGGTATTAAGAAAGGCACCTGTTGGGATGAGCACTGGGTGTTATAAGTGATGAATCACTGATTCTACTCATAAAACCAGTATTTCACTGTATGTTAACTACAATTTAAATTAAAAAAAATCCAAATTGTCAGTGCTTACCCAAGGCCTAGTAAATCAGAAACTCTGGGAATGGGGCCAAGCAATCCACACTTTAACAAGCCTTCCAGGTGATTCTGATACACACTAAAGAATACTTAGAGAACAAAAATGACTTTTTCAAAATGGTTTATCCCTCCCCCAAATAACTACCAAAATTATTAGTTTTTATTAATTATCATAAGGTCAGAAAAATATTTTTCCTTTTATATACAATCAATTTGGGTTTGCCCTCACTGATTCAGAAAGCCATGGGATGGATAACATAGAAGTCGTTAGTGACTCAGGCACACCCTCTTAAAAGAATCCGCGTTAGGCTCTGCTTACCAAAGTTCACAGATATTCACTGAATCCCCGGCACCAACACTGGCTGAGTGAATAAATGAACATGATGAAAAGAGGAAAAAAAGGGAGTTGGTGATGCTGCCTATCAACACAGAATCATTTGGAAACTAACAAGGTCCTGCGCCTGATCCACAATAGTTAACCCACCCAGAGACAGCTGCCAAGTTGACTATACTGTCAAGGCAGACAGTTGTAACTGGCTGCTTCGTCCTGCCTGCCTCCCAGCTGCAGCAGCTGGTATGAGAAAAGAAGACTTACAAGAACCACCTGATCTTCTCAGGGACAGGTTTGACCATCTCCTCAGGAATTCTGAACAAGAATTAGACAACTGGTACAGTATGAGGAGCGGGCATTCTGCAGCCGTCTCCTGCTGGAGTACTATTTTTAAAAAGGCAAACCAGAGGGAAACAAATTACACAGAAGTTGCATTTTTACAGCAATTGGGAGACAAATCTAACTTCTTACCAGAAATGGAAACCCATATGATATCACTGTACTGCATAATGAATTATTAATGCTTGTAATTTTTTTAATAAATTAGGTATTCAGGAAGGTTCCTGTTGACATCATGTTTGACATCATAATGCTTCATCACTCTAAAAGCTTAATGAGATGAATTATTGCTAGAAAAGGGAGAGAGAGAGATCAAGCACACATTTTCGCACTCTGGGGAATAGACCAGAGACCAAGCAGATAATGAGAATATGGTTTGGAATTGATGTACAAAGGGGAAATTAAAAAAAAATAAAATAAACTATGACAACCCACTACCACTGTAAATAGGACCAAATGGCAAAGACTTTATTTTTCCACCTGAGCATTTAGGAAAAGGGGGAGGGGAGGCATGACGAGCAACTATCTCAAACTGTTAAGGCAGAAGAATTCTTATTCTAAAAAAAAAAAAATGGAAGTAAAGTTTTTATAAAATTAACTCATCCACAAGAGTATGGAACATGTGAATATTGGAAAAGATAATACTACATTGAGTCACAAGTCCCAAAAGAATACTACTAAATATACTAAAGCAAGTCTGTGATAATAATTCTTTATGATTTGTGTAAAATAGTAACTCTGGTCTCAAATTTAATTTCAAATATATAGTTTCTGAGATCTACACATGCAACTTAGCATTGAATTACTGAACCAGCAGTTTCATTCCCAGCATTCTTAGTAAAGGGTTGGACTTAATTAAGCTCTTATTTGGAAATCCTGTTGATAAAGCACTGTGAGTTAAATTCCTATTCAGGTCAAGCCTTTAACACTTCAGTCAAGCAGCAATGATATTTCTACAAGTTTATACTAGCTGCTATTAATTGGGACTCATTTTCCCTCCAGTTTTTACTCCATTTGCTAAGGATCCTCTTGAGGGAAGTATTAAAACTTGGAGAGTGAATTCATTCATTATTCTTTCAATAAACAAACATGGAATAGCTAAAGTTGCCAGGTACTAAATTGGGATTCTTGCTACTCTAAAAGGCAAAAATATACATTTTCGCTTACACAACCAAAAAATGATCACGGAGTTCATAAGTTGTCACCAGTCTGAACTACTTCATATCTTCGAATTTCCTGTTCAACGAGAAATCAAAAGCTATTAAATAATTTTTTCTTTTTTTTTTTTAACATTTATTTATTTTTGAGACAGAGAGACACAGAGCATGAACGGGGGAGGGTCAGAGAGAGAGGGAGACACAGAATCCGAAACAGGCTCCAGGCTCTGAGCCATCAGCCCAGAGCCTGACGCGGGGCTCGAACTCATGGACCGCGAGATCGTGACCTGAGCCGAAGTCGGACGCTTAACCGACTGAGCCACCCAGGCGCCCCAATAATTTTTTCTTTTAATGTTTATTTATTTTCGACAGAGACACACAGAACGCAAGCAGGGGAGGGGCAGAGACAGGAGGAAACACAGAATCCAAAATAGGCTCCAGGTTCTGAGTTGTCAGTACAGAGTACAGCATGGGGCTCGAACCCACAAACCGTGAGATCACGACCTGAGTCAGTCGAAAGCCCAACTGACTGAGCCACCCAGGCACCCCAAAAGGTTATTTTTTTAAATAATATCCCTATTTAATTATTTCACCAAATATAACATTTTAATCCCATTACATTGCTGATGCCCTCCCCCCACACCATGAACCAGTGGGCGGAGGGAGGGAAGCTTAACAAAAGAAAAATATAGCGTTCAGCACATGCCTCTATAACAAATATTCAACTGATAAGTTGTACTGTCATGAATCCAGGTCTCCAGTCTTTGGATATTCTGTCATCATACAGTTAATATTCAAGAGCTAGAAGAGAAAGCTTATACCTGGTACACCGTAGGTACTCAATAAACGGCATTTTCATTATAGTAATTATCATATTATCATATTATGTGACTATTACCAGAGAAATACCATAACTATAAATAAATCTGGTTAAGCTTCGTGTTCAAAATCAGATGCTGTTACGGTAAGTTCACTAAAAGAAGCTTTTGGTCTCCCAGACTGAAACCCTACATGGCACTCTTCACCCTTCCACTGAAGGCTGGCTTTATCCAATCAAGACTAGGAGCCTACTCACACTAGGCCAACTGTTGAACAACTTCTCAAGTGTCAAACATACAATTGTGTCTTTCTCAAATAATCCTTGCAACGGTTCCTAGTAATCAATTGCCCATGTAAAAGCTGCGATTCTAAGTAACATGACCAGTCATAGAGATGTATTTTTTTTTTTCCTTTGCACAACGGGATGTGTCATTGTCATTCTGCTTGCTACAATGATAAAAGGCCCAGTGGCCAGATTTACACAATTAAAACCCTCTTGAATTTAACAGTATTTTGAGAACAGGTGGGCCTATTAAAACAATCGCTTTTCTTGTGTCATTAAAGAAATCGCTAGTGACTGCTTTAATCATTTAAACAATTTTTTCCACTTCCTCAAAATTCCACTCTCCTGTTAGATGAAATGCATGTTCAGAATCTTCGTCTTCAGACAGCTGCACTGCGCTGGAAGCCACTTCCCCTCACTGTAGCTCAGCTGACCCTCCAAACTCACAGCCAGGTTCACCCAATTATGTCCAGGATGCAGCCATCCCCAAGAAGTGACAAAGAACAGGTCTCACTCTAGTCTCCTTCCTCTATTCCCTTCCTATGTCTCTCCACAAAACACAAGCACCCTTATTCATTCACAAATCGCCACACTCGATCCCTGTGGCTAAGACTCCGTGCAGCTTGGCTGGCCTTCCCAGGTGAAACGCTGAATACGAGGCACTATCGTATCCTTGCACCGGGGCTGCACCATTCACCTGCAGGGCAGACAAATCCAGCCCCGTGCTCAGATTTCATTCAGTCAGACTCGCCACCCAATGCTCTCAATGATATCCACCCCACCTCCTGAGTTAACGGAGCCACAGCCTTCCGGCCCTCAATGAGAAATCGGCCAACCCACCAGCTTCCCACCGCGCTCTCTTCTCCACCCGGTCCCCCAGAACCAGCTCCCAGGACCCCTCCAGGGGTCTCTTCTGCTCACATTTCCCAGGCCCCCATCGCTCCCACACATTTAAAGTAAACTCCTCCTTAGTGACAACCTCCCAAACCAACCGCGTCACGGCCACTCAACTCCGCCGGAGCCCCCTACTCGTGCTAGCCCCGCCCGGACGGGGCGGGCGGCCCCCCACCAGCCTGAGCCGTTTACCTTGACGCTGGTGTAGCTGGTCTGGGTCTCGGCCTCCGCGCTGCTGCAGCAGTGGCGCCTCCGGCCCCTGCAGGTGGTCGTGGCGGGGGCTGCGGAGCCCGCGCTGCTGCTGCCGCTGCTGCCGCCGCTGCCCAGCTCAGTGCGGGCTCTGCGGACGCGGGCGGCCCCGGGGGGTCCAGACGCGCGGCTCCGGGGAATAACGTCGGCGGCGTCGGTCTGGACGAAGAGGCCGTGCAGGGGGGCGGCGGGGCCCTGCGACACGCTGGTGGTCTGGCGGGGCGAGTTGGACTCGTCAGAGTCCCGGCAGTAGATCACGCCGCTCTGCGAGACGTGGATGCTGGGGGCACAGCCCATCCCTCGGCCGGGCTTCCCCGCGCGCCCGCCCGCGCCCCTGGCCGCCCGGACCCAGGGCACCCACGGCCACCTGCAGTGAGGGGGCGGGCGCCTCGGCGGCGGAGGAGGCACCCGAACTGCGCGCCCCCCGACCTGCCTGGCCGCCCCTCCGTCGGACTCGCCGCGGCGGCCCCCGCCGAGCCTCCGGGGGCTGCGCGCGTCACCCCAACTTTCCCTTCTGGGCCATCTTCCTCCCCGAGCAGGAGAGCGCGCACACACAGCGCCCCGCGCGCACCGGCGGCCGCCACCCTCCCTGCCGCGGCGCCCCAAACACGCTCCTCTCGCCTACGGCTTCCCCTCCTCCCTCTGCTCCTCCGGCGCCGCCGCCCAGCTGGACCTCGCCGGGCTCCTGCGCCCGCGGCCCCTGGGCCAGGGCGCCCGCCCGCCTGCACCTTCTTTACCCACTTTCGGTCCGCGCCCGTCCCCCTCCCTCCCTCCCTCCCTCGCTTCCACCCTCCTTCCTCTCCGGGTGCCCCCGCTCCGCAGCCGCCGCCGCTCCGGCCCCACTGCGCCCCTCGGCCCCGCCCGACGCTCTCGGAGCTCTCCCCGGCTGGGCGAGCGTGCCCGCCGCCCCGCTCGGCCCACGGGGCTCCAACGCGCTGCAGCTGGCTCCACGCCTCCGCGCCCGCCCTCCTCCTGCGCGGTCCGAGGCCTCGTCCCTTCTGTACCCGCTGCCCCTCGCGGCACACACTCCGTGCCGGCCCTGAGGGCTGTGTACCCTGGGTAGCACTGCAATATGCTTCTCGCCTTTCACGAAGGAACACATTTTACCGCATGCCTGAGCAAAACACCAAGACGCCCCTCCCCAACAGCCCAAGCCCACCCAATTGACTAGCTTGCCTCTCGGCATACTCAGGGAGTTAAGGAGAGACCTAACGCTTCCGTAGTCCACCCATCACTTCCCCCACATACTCTAAGAGCTGAGTTGAATGGAGTCTGAGTCTTCAGAACAAGTCCATTCCATGTCTAACCTCAACATTTGGAGGTTCATGCCAAGGGATGGGAGGCCCTGCAGAGGAAAGAACCCATAAACACACACAAATTCCCCCTAAGGTCCATGCAAGGAACATAAAGAAGCCGCCCACGTGGTCCTGGGCTTTCTCCTCCAGAGTTTTCACCTCCTGCTTGGGTGTCACCTAATTTTCACCCTGGCCTCTACCCCATCCAGCCTCCTGCTGTCACCTGCTGTTGCCCACACTCTGGGCTGGGCATTCAAAACTGCCTTCCCTTCTTTACCTGAATGAGGCACACATAAGCCAAGCTCACTCAAGGAGGATAAGAATACCTTTAAAAGCAAGGCTGCCATTCATCCTCCCCATGATTTGAAATGTGGATTAGAGATGCGAGACACCACGGCCATTTATTCATTGGTTCTTGCAGTGATTCCTGGCGGCTGCCAAAGGCACAGGGGAGAAATGAGACGGTCTAAGAAAGAAGTCAATCTAGAGTTGTTTACAAGAGCAAAGGCAAGAACACAGAGTCATGGTGCTAAGTACAAAGAAATAAGTATCCAATTTGAAACAATTTGTTTGGTTCTTCACTTCCTTTCTGTCTTAGTCAACTTTTAAAGTGGCTGAAGACTTCCAGTGACAGCTCCTAACTTTAATAGAGAAGCAAGGTGTCACCCCGCATCTCAAATTCAAATACAGAAAGGAAAAACAACTAATCTAATTCTATCTTTGTTTCTCTGCTTTTCAGGTTAGTACTCCAACTTTCCAACTTTTTAGTCTTTTTTTTTTTATGACATGAAGAATTCTCCAGTTATTGCAGAAAAAGTCTATGCTGTGTTTCTAATGGACAGGCAAATTGCTCATAAAATTTCTGTGCAGGTTGGGTTCCCCAAGACTCTGTGATGGTGTTTAGCAGGCAAAAAGATTTATTAGAAAGCCTTCCTAGAATCACCAACTGGAAGGGAAGGAGGGAGTGAGGCAGGAGAGATTGAGCAGAAGGAGAAACTAAGCTAGAATAAGGTCTTAATGAAAGTCTCAAGTATCCCTGCAGGAGGGGAGGGATTCTGCAGTTGGGATAACCTTTGAGAGTCATCTGAGGTGAGGCTAGGAGGATGGGCCTTTACATCCCCACTAAGTGACTGGTAGGCTATCTCAGCAATGTTGGGCAAGGCCACTCTCTTCACCTGAACCAATCCCCTTATGAGACTGACAGCTGAACTGAGGACTTTCGGCCGGCAGCTCTCCCCCAGCTGGAGTGTTCTCTTTTTCCTGGCATCATGCCTTCTTCCTCCACAGTTCCCTTCCAGGCTCCCTGGGTCCATGCTTCCTTGGCCCTATCCATGCCAATAAGAGCACCACATTAAATGGTTGAGACTGAGAAATTGAGATAATCATTCATTTGAAAAAGGCCCGAGCCTCATGGCTGCCACCTGCTCTACTTCCAAGGGACTGTTAAGAATCTGAGGAGGGGCGCCTGGGTGGCGCAGTCGGTTAAGCGTCCGACTTCAGCCAGGTCACGATCTCGCGGTCCTCAGAGCCTGGAGCCTGTTTCCGATTCTGTGTCTCCCTCTCTCTCTGCCCCTCCCCCGTTCATGCTCTGTCTCTCTCTGTCCCAAAAATAAAAAAATTAAAAAAAAAAAAGAATCTGAGGAAACATCATCAAAGTGAAATTATAAAAGCACTGTTCTCCATACCAACACCTGATGTAATGTTAAGTCAGGAGCTAATCATTCCTAAAGCTCATCTATGATTCTCTTATATGTACCCATTTCAGTCATCCTTCAAGGAGGGGCGGCCTTTTTTGCAGTTTAGAGCCATGCTAATTCTCATGCTACAGTGTCCACTTCGTCAGGGTTTCCTCTAAGAATGTGGTTACTATATTGAAACCACCCAGAGAAGAGAAAAGGGCCAGTCACTGGCTGAGGCTTTTCAAGGCAAGAAGATAAAACAGAAGTTACAAGCAATCTTCTGGTGGAGAGCATTCGAGGCTGAATCACGAAGGGACAAGGTTCCCCAGAAACAAATTTAGGTTGAACTTTCTACATTAAAGAAAGATTAAGCCTTGACAGAGTAGATAACATCAAGGTACCTATCAAATAGTACAGAACTGCTTTAGTACATGAATTGAATACTTTGTACTGGGACCAGTGCCCTTCACTGAATGCTACTCTTCTGAGCAGAAGATGGAATGAGGGAAATGCGCGAAGTATCCATTTTTCCACCTATTCCCAGAGCAGCAAGAGTTCCAGTATCCTCCTCAGACACAGCTCCCACTGCCAACTCTGGCTTTGTAAAAGGAAAAGAAAAAAAAGGTATCCCTATCATCTCCACCAAGTGTTCCCAGTGGGAATGTGTAACCTCCCCCTAGGATTGGCACTGATCTGGTCACTGAAACACGTGGAAGTGTAGAAGTGTGCAAGTGAAGGAGAAATGGCTTCACTGAAATCATTCCCTAGCTTAGCTCTGAGGTCTGAGTTCTTGCTTGGATACGTGATTTCTGGACCGATTCCCATGCCACAATTTCAATGCATTCCAGGACAAAAGCAAAGTCTACAAGCTCAGACACTGCAGATAAAATTTAGGCTCAAGTTACATAATAGGGCCAGAGAAACCAACATTATAAAACAATTAAATTAAGTGAAAAAAAAATGTAGTTACAGTCAATGTCCAAGAAACAAATCAAAAGAAAGCAACCTAAATCAGAAATGTCTTCAAAAACTAAACCTCAGATATGTCCAGGGTCAGCTGAATGGCCTGTATGTTTTATACTGATGTCAAATAAGAGCTTATTTCAGAATTATGACCCAGAGGCACCGTAAGATCATGAACAATTAAGGTCATTTCCCATTCTAAAATGGCATGACTCTTCCAGAACTCCTCTAAAGAAGCAGAAAATGTGATTAATACATTGTGAATGATTCTTAACCAAAAAGGTTAAAACAACAGCAGCTTTCTGATCAATCTTTAGATAACCAAACATTTAATCAACCAATCAACCTTACAGAGCTTCTGGATTCAAACTACATTCCTAATGGCGGAGCTTTATTGGAAATCTAACCACCTGATAAGTGAAATGAGACAGTGTATTAAGAAGCCTGGTACAGGGGAAGGTTCATTGAACTCCGAGTGAAGAGGGCGAATCCAAAACCTACTGCTGCCTCTTATAGCTGTATAACCTGGGGCAAGTCACTTAACCTTGGGCCCCCAATTTCCTAGGTAATCTCCAAAATCTCCAAATCACCAACATTTGGGGATGCTATGAAATTTTCACTTCCTCTTATTAAATTATTTTAAATTTAGAAGAATGGAATCTTTGAACGGAATGAGTGATGTCAAACCTGACTGCACATCAGAATCATCCTGAATCTGTCAGAAATATAGCAGTTCCCTTGTCCCATCCCTGGGACTTAGATCCAGGGGTCAAAGACAGGTCCAGCATCTGCCAGCAAAGAAAGCAAGTCTAGTGTACCCTTTCTACAGACTCCCCTGGGAACTAGAGTAAAAGTCACATCCCTTATAGGAGCCTACCAAACCCTACCTGATGTGGCCCTCTTCCCTCTTGCCCTCACTCTCTCTGCCTCAGGCGGACTGGCCTCCTGGCCGCCTCTCCAGGAAACCTAACATTATTAGCCAGGAGCTCTTCCCTCTGACATGGCGAACTTCCTCACTCTCCTTAAGTCTCTGCTCAGATGTCATCTATGTAGCAATTCCTGTTTAAAATCACAACCCACAAACCCTCCATTGTCTCTCCATCACTCCTGATTCCCCTCAGCCTGCTCTAGTTTTCTTCTTCCATGGCGCTTAGCACCTTCCAGCTTATTATATAATTAGCTCCTTTATTATTATGCTGATTGTCTATCTTCACCCACTAGAATATAGGCTCTACCCAGAGCAGGAACTTTTTGGTTTCTTAGTCACTGATGGCTCCCAAATTCCTAGAACAGTGCCTAGCACATAGTAGGTGCTAAAATATTTGCTGAATGAATTTTTTTCTCCTATTTCTTCCTCCTT